TTAGCATGTCACTTGCTGAATATACTTTTGTTTGTTTGGGTTTTTTAAAAATAAAATTAAGGTGAAACTGCGTAGGAATAGATCTGCAAAGAATATTCCAGAGCCTGCTTACTTTTTAAAAAGTCAGGAACTATATATTAGAAAAAAGTGACTTGTTTTGCATGTAACTTGTTACACCATGCTTAAAAGCTTAAAGTAATAAAACTACTCCCTTACTGGCGTTAAAACTAATTTTAGTGTAATTACTCATTAACACAGCTCTGCACTGCTGAGTGTTCTGCTCACACAGCTGTGTACAAATCAGTTTGTAATGGCACTCGAGGCGTTTTGAGGAAGAATGGTGAAAAAAGGAAAGGAAATAACCAAGTCTTCTAAATACGTTCCCAAGCTATCAACAGCACCAAATTGCTACCAAGCTGGTATTTAATTGTAGCTTTCAGTGGGCGAGTTTTCTTGGCTGTTCATTATTTACCTTACTTGTACGATTTACAAGTCGTTTGTGCTTTTATTTAGTTCATAGTTTGCTTTTCAGACGCCGCTTGTTTTTGACCGATCTGCCTATAATGCTGTCAGAAGGAATATTTCTGGTTTGGAATCTTGCGCGAGGATAAAATTGGGTTTCTGTTAATCGAGGAAATCTTGGCAGCTCTCCCAGGCTCTTCATCTCAATGTCTGCAGGTTCTTCAAGTCCTGCGTGTAGATCATTTAAGTAAAAGATGGATCTTTTTCATAATATAGGAAGACAAATACATGAGTATGTGAGATGTGTTTTAGATTAAGCAGCTGAATTTAAAAAAAATTATCAGGGGAATATGTTTTTCCTTTGAGAAATTGCAGTATTTTGTTTCAATTTAATTATTTTAAAAATATTTACATTAAATTTTAACTAAATAGAATGATTTTTGAAGATAGGTAAGATGCATCAAGAAGCAGATCACCTGTGAATATTACAAAGACACATAAGAGTAACCCAATTATTAATGTAAGGCGATGGAATATATTTGCATTTCAAGTGTGAATAAATATCCCAGCTTTAAAAAGATGACTGCTGTACTGGTGAATGGTGGTCTGCTAGCTACTGTTCTTTGGAGTTTTGGTCTTTCTAAATTCATACAGTAGAAATTCATCTGCTGCAGCTTTCTGGGAGTGAAAATGAGCAACTGAAATGGTGGCTCTAAGGAATTTTATACTGAAATTGTGACTGCCTGTAGTGCTGGCTATGACATAACTTTCTTTTTTAAAAAATGGAGACGCTTCTCACGTTAAGTAGTTTAACTAAATGTGTGAAGCAATCAATCAAAGAGTTCACCAGAATGTTTCTGAAGATGCTGCTTCAGAAGACATTTGGCTGATGCAGCTCTAAAACATGTTTGTTTTTATAACAGCTTCCCTACAGATTAGTCCTCAAACTGTTTCATGATTTTAAATAATATTATGAATGTAATTAGTTAATATAAGGGTAGGAAATGAAAGCTCTCTGCAAGGGGAAAATATTCAACTGAAGTGTAAAGTCAAATTTGAATTGAAATAAGAGCAAGCACACTGGGAAAGATGCTGAAAATTGCGGGCACCAAGGAGGTTCTTGGAGAGTGCTTTACCATGTTCCTCAGTGGCAGTGCAATGTGGATGGAGTAAAGATAAGTGTGGTAAGTCTCCTGTCCAAGGGAACTATTAGCATGGGTTCACATTTAAACACTGGAGAAGCCTGACTGGTGTAACCAGGACCATGAATGCGATCGTGAATTGGCACTTGTAGGAGCAGAGAGCTGATAGTTGGGAAGATCCCCTGACCCTGATGCAGGGCTCCACGCATGTCAGTGTTGAACTCTGAGGTTCTCACCAGCCCACTTCTCCAGCCCAGCAGGTCCCTCTCTCTGCCTGTCTATCTGCTGCTCCTCCTGATCTGGTATAGCCTGCAACCTGCTACAGACACTCTCCATCCTGTCACCCTAGTCACTGGTGAAGATATCAAGCCCTGGGTAATGCCACTTGTTGCCTGAGCTGCTGGTTAATCCTCACCCCATTCACCACGATGCTGGGACACTGCTGGGCCAGTCAGCTCTCCACACCTCCCACCATCCACCCGTCCAGTCCAGACTTGGTTTCCTAATTCCAGCTCTGCGTGCCTGGATGATGGTTCTGGATTTCTTTTGGTCAGCCATTTTGGTCTCCATTTTTGCTTCCTTTACACTTTCTGTTCTTAAGCTGGGCCAGGAGCTCCCTGTTCAGCAAAGCTGCCTTCTTGCCTTACCTGTTTGTTTTCTTGTATGTAGGAAAATGGATCATTCCAGGATTGTGAGTGGTTTGTCCCTGAAGATCAGCAAGCTCTCCTGATCTCAGTTGCCCCTAAGGGCAGCTGTCCATGAGATCGCACATGTCCTGAGAGCATGTTCCAGTTTCTTTCCTGAAGTTCAGTGTTTTAATGACACCAAGTGCCTTCCTCAGTTTCCTAAGAATCTTAAATTCCTCCATTTGAGGGACATTTCTAAGGCTGCTGTTGACTATCAAATCTCCGAACAAATTTTCCTTATTTACGAGCAGCAAATCTAGGAGAGTCTCTCTTCTGCTGGGTCATCCAGCACTGGTGTCAAGAAGTTATCCACAACACATTTCAGTGCTCACTGCTCTGAGAAATGGTGATGTTGTAGGTTGGAGTAAGGTTAAAGCGGTAACTGGAGGTGCCGATAACTTTCTCTGGAACCTTCTCTGCCCCAAGATGCTGCTGTTTCTGCTTGGTATGTTGTACTGTACCATAGAATAAGGATCCTGTACCGAGTTGTGTGCAATAACAAGGTTAGACTTGGGGCACAGGGGCCCTTTCAGAGTCCTGCAAAAGAGCTAAACCATGGTGCATTTCTGTAAGAAACCTAATTACGAGAACATAAAAATAGTTTAAATTTTGCAATGAATGTGAGATGAATGGTGCTGGAGAATACTTAATTGTGACAGTGTGGAAGGATAATTAAGAAGATATTCTTGTGTACTTATCTTTGTGTGATTTCTATTTTCAGTACCAAAATAGGTATGTTCCTGGCTCTGGGAGTCTTGCAGAGTCCTGTAAAGATACAAGTATTGAAGTAAAAAGTCTTGATTTTGGTATGAAAGCAAGAAGAAATATGTAATTGAAATATTGGTTATTGTATTCACGCCAGTACATGTAGGGGGAGAGAAACATTCCCAGTTGATAGGACAGACAGTATCTGAGGATATAAAGGAGGAGATAAAACATGAATAAGAGCTTCAGGAAAGGTGGAAAACATGATGGAGCAGTGACAGGCACACCGGCACACAGGAGGGGTGGGAGGACATTGCTGATGTCCCCGTGGAGCTGGGCCTCGTTTGCGGTGGTCATTGATCTCAAGGAGTACACCCTTGGCTTTGTGGTGCCATGTACAGGGGTGTTTCACGTGAAGCAGTGAAGTGGCTCATAGTTCTGCCCACGTACTTGTATTTCATTGCGCAAATCTGATAAAAGCTATTATTTTGTTCTTCCACCGTTGACAGTAGTTGCCTAAGAAATAGAAATGACAAAATGAAAGTTCCACCAATTCCAGACGTACGTGGGAGATGCTGCTTTGGTTGACAAGGTTTTTTTAGAATTTAATGTCAGGTGGATGTTGATGATAGACTTCTCAGTGCAGCTGAGATGTTCTCAGTGTGTCTGCCTGAAGGTTTTGGTGTTCACATTAACAATTTCTGGGTTAGTCAGGTTTTCTTCTCTGCAGTTTTCTCCTTGTCACACAAGTCTGCGTGTTCTGGTAGGATGTTAGGTGAAGATGCTGCAGCTCTCAACAAAAGATGTACTAGTCCTCAATTCTTTCTGGGGAAAATCTGAGCTGGTTTAGTTACTTTCCATAATTAGTAAGTGAATAAAGGCTGCATAGATTCCCTTGTGGAAAATGTCATCGAGTGGCTTAAGCTTGGTTAATAGTTAAGAATCCAGAAAAAATCAGGGTATCCTGAGCTTTAGGGTTTTGTTACTAATTGTGCTTCCTGTAATGCTCTGTGGTAATTGGGGTCCAGCTGCTCAGATATTACTGTTAGATTTACTGGCTGGATTGCTTTAATAGGATTTGGAGAGCAGCTATTTGTACGTTACAGCTTGTGCTGTTAACTTGCCAACCTTTTAATGCAGTAATCCTGGAGATTTAGCCTAGCTTTAGAGTAGTAATACAGGAAGATGTACATGACTTACCACCAAAAAAAAGTTGGTAAAATCTTTATATAATGAAGTAGGAGTTGTTCATGCTTGTTAGTAGCTTTGTAAAATGGTGTAATATATGTTATGAGAAGGAGGAAAAGCACTGATGGAAAGAAAACAGTGACCTTCGTGAAATTTAGGGAAAAAAAAATCTCTATTTCCACTGCCATACCGAGTTGGTCGCCACATCTTATCACAGGCAGTAAAACCCAACCAGCTCAGAAAGCAGCGACCATGTGAACACACTTTAGTCTTTAATGGCACAACCCGGATGAGCTTGCACTTCTTAAATGGATTTGTGTATTCCACCTGTCCCTTTTTATGATTGAGAATAGTATAAATTAATTCTGCATGTTAACGAAATAAAGTAGAAAACTGGGTCTGGCTGTATTTTTTAATAAATAATACAAGTTGGGATTTTTTTATTGGTAAACTTTTGGTATTGCATCTGGTTTACAAAGAAATGAAAGTATTGTTTGCTGCTGGTACATCCTCCTACAAGGTCATATTTTCTTCTCAGTTCTCACCCTTCCCTTTCCCTTGCCACTTCCATTACAACGGAGATTTGGTCTGCTTGCTCAACAGTGATGTGTCCTTTAATATTTCCCATGAGTTTTCAGTAGTTACCTTGCCTGCATGTCAGCCTTCAGTTTAATGGCCTTTTTTGTGTGTGTTCATTTTCTTTTGTTTCCCATCGTGGTTTTGTTTATTTCTTTTGTGTTTTTTTCTGTTTTCTTCTCTTTTTTTAAACCGTGGTGATGTTTGCCCTTCATATTCCCCAATGTTTGCACATGACAAGATGTTGCCATCCCAACATTACCTCCCACTTCACTGACCAGTGCCACTAATGACCATCTAGCACCAGCTACAACAGGACCATTGCCTTCAGCCCCGCGGGACGTCGTGGCCACCCTCGTCTCCACTCGCTTCATCAGACTGACGTGGCGGACGCCCGTATCAGACCCTCAAGGAGACAATCTCACCTATTCAATCTTCTACACCAAGGAAGGTATAAACAGGTAAAGATCTCAATGTGTAAAATGGGTTTTGCTCTTTCATGACTCTTCTTCACGCGGAGCAAGTGCATTTTTATTTGCCTCATTGCTGCATATTCATATTCTTCTGGGCAATGCTTTTGCATGTTTTTGATTGATTGCAAACAGTTGCTACCTGCTTTTAGCAGACTGCTTAGAAATGAAGAGCAGGCAGAGACTCTTAACACCTCTTCAGGAACACTGACACTGGTACAAATGCCATCCACTTCAGGCACAGGAACATCCTCCCGATAATTCGTGTGCTGTTGAGGGAGAGCAGTCACTTCAGGCTTTAAAATCTTGTAAATGTAGTATGATTCTAGAGAGAACTGCATGGTAGCTTCCACTTAAATGATGAATCTCTCCTACTGATCCCTGCATATAGAAATTTCCTGAATGTGAAGCATTCATGAGTTTTTGACCTCTTATCCTAATGGCTTATTTCAATCTACCCCTTCTACTGCTCCGAATTACAGTTTCAAATTGTTGCGATAAGTTTGAAGAAGTTGAAGCTAACAATCGTTTTGAGCAATGCTTAATTAATTGCAAATTAGCTTGCTTATCAGATTTATTACTCAAGAGAAAATGATCTGTCTCCTTACTGAGACTCAAAGTTAAGAAAGTCATTTGAAGAGAATATAAAACTTACTGCTACTTCTAGTGAATTGCCACTCTTTCTAAATTCTGTGGATAGATGTCTCATCCAGCCTCTTGAGGACTAATTGAGGCAATTAGGAAAATTTTCATTCCCTCACAAATGTTGTTTTGCTTCTACTTCCTTGCATTAGTAACATTCATTCTTACTGGAGGTATTTTAAGTGAGACAGGAAAAAAGGTGAGCTCTTGCCAGCTGTTCTTGCCTGTGCTCCTTCATGTTCCTGGTTGTAACCCCTCTACTTGGTGGGTTCTTAGAAAATAATTTGCTGGAGATGGCTTCACGCCTCTCCCTGTACTGCTTTTGAGGAAACAAAATGCATCCCCTTCCACTACATACAAGATCGTAGACATCTAGAAAATAATCCTTTGGAACCAAAAGCATGTGGAGG